ATGCCTTCCAAGTGAGCAGAAGAAGCTCTGTTGCCATGTCTGAGTCCTCCAACAACAAACACCAATATGAATAGAGTCTCTATAGGCCTATGGAATGCCAATGGACTTCAACAGTCTATGGTATATGACATTATGACACACTCACACTCCTTTACTATGCTCTTTATCACAGAAACCTGGCTCCTCTCTCCCTCCCACCTCCCTACTTCCTGGACACAGTTCCACACCTATGGCAAGCCTGTTGAGAACAGCTACCGTGGCTCACTTGGTATCTGTGCTCTTGTTTCTCCCTCCTGTCCCTACCATGTTACCCACATCCCTATGCCCTCCCCCTATGCCCTTGGTGTCCAAATTGGTTCACTGAGAATTATATGTCTCTACCTTCCCCCCTCCCTTTCCCTTGAAGACACTTTTGCAGTGCTCAACTCCATTCCTTTGACAGAGGACACAATCATCTGTGGGGATCTGAATGCAAGACTTGGTGCAGTTCTTGGGGACCATGACACAAATCCTAGAGGTACAGCCCTACTGGAATGGCTAGAAGAACGTCAGCTGTATGTCCAGAACAGCATGCATGCCTTTGGTCAAGCAACCTACCACTCTTTCTGACAAGAACAAGAGATGAGTAGCATTGTGGATCTGTTTGTGTCCAACTGTCTCTTTGACAACACATTCATGATGGTGTATGGTGATCTCTCTCTTGGTTCAGACCATAGGCTGCTCAGTATGACATTTGATCATGACATGTCTACAGCTCCTCTCACACCACCACCCATCAGAAGAATGTGGAACCTCTCATGCCTTGTGGAGCCAGATGTTGCTGATCTATACAGAGACAAGTTTGATAGTCTCTCCTCTCAACTATGTCAACTAATTACATCTACAGTGAGCAATCCTCCTGGTGTCTGTCCTGACATTGATGGCCTAACAGATCAGCTCAGCAGCTGCATCTACTCTGCTTTGGACAGCTCTGTTGGAAGCAAGACACATAGACCTGCACATTGGCAGAAGTTCTGGAGTGAGGCTCTGCAGGTGGCAGTTGAGAAGAGGGAGCACAGCTTCAAGAGCTGGAAAAGGGCAAGAGGCCTGGACAAGGTTTGTTGGTGGCAGAGGCACCTGGATGCACAGAGGGCCTTTAGGTGTGAGGTGCAAAGAGCCAAGAGAAGACACTGGCAGGAGTTTTGCAAGAGCATGGAGAGAGACTATGCAAAGGCTACATCCAAGGTGAAGCAGATTTGTAGAAGAAGACAGCCACAGCAGACATTCCAACACCCAGATGGGCCAGCAGCAGCAGCAGAAGTGATGAGCCAACACCTTGAGAGTGTTTATAGAGGCTCACTATTAACATCACTTAGACCACCAGTAACAGCACAGCAGCATCAGCATCCCTTCCCAGCAGCCACAACACCATTCTCACAACCTGTTGTCAAGTTCTGTATGAAGCTGCTGCCAAATAGGAAAGCACCAGGAGTAGACCACCTGAGAGCAGAAATGCTAAAGCCACTCAGCACCACCATTGTCCCCATTCTTTCTGGTCTGTTCACCATGTGTTGGCAGTGGTCCTATGTTCCTCTCCCATGGCGTCAAGCACAGGTGTTCCCCATCTTCAAAAAGGGTGACCCAAGTGATCCAGCCAACTACAGGCCAATCTCATTGACTTCTGTTCTCAGAAAGCTGTTTGAGGTATGTCTAGCACCAGACCTGCACAAGTACTCTCCCCCACTTAATGTTGCTCAGGGTGGATTCAGACCAAGACGAGGTGCACTGGACCAGGCTCTGTGTTTACACAACCTGATGAAGAGATATTATCAGAGACACCACCACTATCCTGTGGTAGCCTACTTGGACATCAAGGCAGCCTATGATACTGTAGACAGGAACCTGATCTGGGATGCCCTGCACAAGAGAAACACACCGCCACCACTGCTTGCTTTGCTTGTCCACTTGTTTGATGATGTCCATGTGTCAGTCATCCTGAACAACTATGTGTCCTCTTCGTTCTCTCCAGTAACTGGTGTACTGCAAGGCTCAGTTCTTAGCCCCCACCTTTATTCAATCTACATTAACCCACTTGCATGTCTTTTCAGAAGTGTGGCAACAGCAACAACAACACATGTGCAGTCTAGCTCACCATCATCTTTGGCAGAGTATGAAGAATCACTAACAGACAACAGTAGCACCACTATGGATAAGCCTACAGGAATCAACTCACTCTTCTTTGCTGATGATATTGCTGTCTTTGGTAAGGTTGGAGAGGTTCAGCACATGCTGCGTTTGGCAGAGCACTACTCTGTTTCAGTTGGCTTTAGATGGAGTCCTTCCAAGTGTGCAGTGGTCCTTCCCCCTTCTGTTTCCCAGGCCAACCAGTTCAAGATATATGGAGAGGCCCTTCCAGCAGCCAATGAGTTTATTTACCTTGGCATGCCCTTTGTCTACAATGGAATCAACTCCTCTGGGATTATCTCACACAGAAAGCAAGCCACAATGTTTGCCATGTCCACACTGCATGCTGTTGGTGCCTCACGTTCTGGTTTCTCTTTGCTCCTCAGCTCAAGACTATACAAGACCTTCATTAGGCCAAAGTTTGAGTATGGTCTGGCAATCACTGTTCTTTTGAAGAAAGATATCAAAGCTCTGGAGAAGATACAAGACAGGTGCCTAAGAATGATCATAGGTGGCCACCCCACTAGCTCCACTCAGGTTTGAAGCATATCTGTGACCTGCCCAGCATGAGTTTCTGCTCAGACTCTCTCAAGACAAGGTTCTGTCTACGTGCTGCCTCACTTCCACCCCAATGTCTTTTGTCTCTGCTGTTGAACAGTCCAGGAGTGCCACTACTTGAACCACTCACCAAGAATCATCTCTTTGCCTCTCTTCCAGGAGTATTGCCAGAATCATCTGCACAGCTTAGGCAATACTTCCAACAACAACACCAACAGCTCCTTGACCAGTACCTGCAAGTGACAGACAAGGTGCTCATCAAGGCATGCAGGCCAACACTTGGCATTGATCCAGTCCTCTTCTTGCCAGCAACCAGACATGACAGAAGCAGGCTCATACGTTGGAGAATGGGATGGCTTCCTGGTAAGCCACGTCCATGTCAGTGCAGTCCAGCAGAGCACACCTCCAGAAGACATCTTGCAGAGTGTCCAGCAATTCCAAGGGACCTATAGGATCAACTGCCACCAGCACCACAACACTGCCATCCATTGGATCACACCATCAACTGTCTTTCTAAGAAATCTTTTTCCTGTCCTTCTTTCTGGGTGCCTCTACATACAATTCTCTGGCATATAGACCAGCTTTGCAACCCTGACAGTGAGTTTAGTCCCCACTCAAGTCCAGGCATGCTTTGGCATGATCAAGTGCACCAGGTGCATGAATGAACAGCTTTTTGTTCTGCTTCTCTGGCCTTCTCCCTCTCACTGTTACAATCTTTTAACACAGCTGCAGAGTGGAGAGCAGGGACAGCCTTAAAGTCCAGTAGTCTTAGTTTCTTTCTCTTGCCTGTCTTTTTTTGTTCTTTTGTCCTGTAGAACTTTTTTGTTTATTTCAATTAGTACAAGGAGTGCAGTAAGGCTTCATTAAGCAAATGCATATATCTCCTTTAATAAAAAATCTTTAACCTATACTATCAAAGAACTTCTCTTTTTTGTCTATGCTAGACACTGCGCTATCAAATAGAGTAATACTATTGGCTGCACATGTCTTCCCTTTTTGGAACACACATTATCCTGTGTGGATACACACAGATAATATAATATAATTAATAAGATAAATGCTAATGCAATATATTGTCTTGGCTTAACATGTTCACTGTGAAGAGAACATAAAGACAAAACATGTATGTGCAATTGTACACTGTAGAATTTAGTATAAATAATCAAGTGAATTCAATGAATAAACATTATCTTCTATCTTCTCTTTTATTCTTCTTCTTTGATCTATGTGGGCTTCAGTCCAAACCAAAAACCACTAGCTATTCCACTTTGTGCACATACCTCTGGGCCTAGAACTATTCTGTCCAAATTAGGGAACAACAACTTTGACACATGATGTTGTGAGGTTGCCAGCCTCAGTGACTGCCAAGTGTAGTGCAGGGAATTAACTTTACAAATTTCTCTGTTCCTTGACTATTTCCTTTTTGGTTCTGTTTCTCTTTCTTTCCTTTTTTTGTTGATCTTCTCTTTTCTTCCTTTTTTGGAAACCAATATGTTTCTGACATTTTCTGTATGTGGTAAAGAGATCAATGCTCTTGTCCCACAATTCTTTTCCTTTCTTTACTCTTTTTCTCATACTATTCTGTTTTCTACCTAAACTTGTTTTCTCTTTTCTATGATGTATTTCTTTATGCTATTTTAGTTTCTTTTTCTTTTTTTTGTTTTCTCCTGAAGAATCATTGTTATAATGTATTCTTGTAACAATGCTAGTATAGTTTATTAAATTTGTAGTTATTATTCATCCATGCTGTAGTAACAATGCAATGGTTGTAATTCATTTTCTCTAAGATTGATTTCTTATGAAATCATTCTCTATTTTAACATTTAGTTCTTTAGTATAAATATCCCATTAACCAAGAACTGAAATAAATTGTCAAATACTACTCCAAGATCTTTTATTATCTTTTATTCTTCTGTTATTTTCTTTTGATATCTTCTGATACAAGTTGTGGGCAGTGCTACTGTGTTTTCTTGTGAAGTATCATTGTTATTTACAAATCAATTCTTAGCAAAGTATTGATTGCATTCTGTTATTTTGTACCTGCATGTACTGTTTTTCCCCTTTTATCTGTTTTTTTTTGCTTCACCATTGTGTTGCAAAGTATCATTCTTATTTGGTTTCATAGTCTATTCAATTGAACAGACTATTCCCCTACCCTTTTTATTTGTTCACAAACCCTACCTCCAATTTCTATTCTGAACCCTTTTCTTACCCTATTACTCTACCTTTCTATCCATCATACACACAGGTATAAGTACCACACGCGTCAACTTTGTTACTCCAAGTTGTCCGAGTGGTCTAAGGAGCCTGACTTAAGATCAGGTCCTCGTAAGAGGGCGAGGGTTCGAACCCCTCACTTGGAACTCTTTGTTAAAGCATTTTATATATATTATACTGTCTTTTAAAGGACTAGTAGGGATATGTAAACAAATAGCATGGCCTTTTTTTGCTAAAATCTCATTTTGGACTCACTAAGGGGTGCCATTAGTACAGTTCAAAGTATTTTTTATTTGTGGGTGTTGATTGCTATTCGCGCATTGGGCATGTTAGCCACCCTATGAGAACTTTTGAAAAAATAGAATAAGCATTAAAACACTTCAAATATGAAAGTGAAAAAAAAGAATGCAAATGAATGGGAAACAGAAGGACCGAGAAATACAAAACCTCAGATGAGGGAAAAATGATGAAAAATGAGAAATGATGGTAAAATGAGAATTATGAATAGACATCCAAAAGGCCATAAAGTCAGCAAGGAAACCAGGACACCAAAAAGATAACCGTCATCCTGTGGTAATCTGAAATCCAATGAGGGATACTTAGAGCAACTTGGACAATCTTGAGAATATATGTAGCAACTACACTAGCAGCTTCTGGCTTTGCTAAACGGGTTAAGAATGGGTGGTAGAGGAGAGATCGGAGGAGAAGTGAGGATACAGCGTCTGTTGCTGCAGGAGTCTTTGCACTCTATGGCGGCGTTGGCGTTCCTGCTCAACACACCCATCAGCAGCCTCAATGAGCAGGCTACCAGCTGATGGCTCTACCTTAAAGTCTCGAGTAGACGTGGCTCGATCAATGGCTTGCAGCAGTATTAACAAACTGGGCCAAAGGTCTCGCCATTCAACAAAAGACTTAACCGTGCGCGGCAGAAGATTTAGACAATAGTCAATTGGATGAATGTCTTGTGGTGGTGCAGGAACTAGGAAGAACAAGAACGTGGAGCGTTCATGGTCAACGAATGTGCAAGTGAGAAAGTGGTCCCGATTGGCAGATGGGTGGCCACATTGGCAAGGAACTGAAGGTGTTGGTGGTAACCAAGCAATCCTCCATTTTAGTAGACGATGTCTTTCTTTGCGCATGCACGGTAGTAGAAGGATTGGATCCCAAACAGGTCTACATAGTCCATGGGCTACCATCACCAGCGGATTCTTGCCACGTACTAGACTAGTAATTTCACTTTGAAGACGTTCAAGATAAGCTACTTTTAATGGATATTTAGGAGGGTTGTGAGCCCGTCCTATTCTTTGAGCATTTTGCCAGAGTACATTGCCACGTAGCTTAATCCATCTGGCTTTACTCTGGGGTGCTTCAAGCTGCGGGACAAGGCACCAGAGGAGGGTGTCTTCAGGAAGGGTAGCTGCGCGCTCAACAAATTTGGCTTGCAGATAAAGAAAACGAGAGTATATGTTAGGGAGGGCAGCTAATTGGGCAACCTGGATCGTTCCAAACCTAGCAGTAGCAGATCTAGCAAGACAAAGTCTCAGACAAGCAGACTGACAGATTTGTAGCGGGCAGATGCCTAGTCTATTGACATTACAAATAGCCAACCCATACTCAAGGATAGGCCAAACAAAAACAGTATACACTCTTAGGGCTGCTGTAATCCCAAAGCCATACATGTTTACACCCATTCCTCTCAGCTTTTGCATTACTGCAATTGCCTTGACTTGTGAGTGTGAGAAAAGTGCGTCTTGGTTAATACCTTGACGTGAAAAGGGGATACCAAGGTACTTGAAAGTATCACAGGTTGGAAGCTTGTTGCCATAGAGGTAAAACGGCACATTGGCCGGGGCATTGAGTACTTCACATTTGGAGGGACTCCATTTGTAACCAAGGAGGGTCGAGTGAATTTTGGCAAGTGCCAGCATTCGATGTATATCTTCTGGGCAGCCCATAAGAGCCACATCATCAGCATACAACAAACAATTCACAGGAGCCCAAGTAACAGTGACATGAGACGGACTGTAAGAGGAATCTGACAACTCAGAAGAGTCATCCAAAACTGTAGAAGTAGGAAAAGGATTGTGAAGGGAATTCTGTAACTTGTCAAGCAATGCGTGAACAGTTGCCTGTGGGGAAGCAAAAGAGAAAGGATTTCGAGCACAGAGATTAATGGACCGTCCCATGGTAGGTGGGTGCATACCAACCAGTATTGGGGATACCGAAGCAAACCTCAAGAAACGTGGAAGAGTATCAATGAAAATAGAATAAAGAAATGGAGAAAGAATACTACCCTGTAAGACTCCTCGTTTAGGTGCAATGTCCCGGGATGCTACATTTTTCAGAATCACATTCACCACAATGTCATCAAACAAATTCTGTAGTAGCAAGAGCAACGGCTGAGACACGAAGGGCATCAGCGACTCCCATATGACAGAGCGTTCCACACTATCATATGCAGCTTTAATATCTAGGAAGACGACAACTGGAGGTTTTGGATCTTGCTCTCCTGATCCTTGGGCAGCGTACAACCCCATAAGTTCGTGGAGACAGAGGGCCTGGTCTAGAGTTCCACGACGAGCGCGAAATCCACCTTGAGCCATGTCCAATGCAGGCATGGTCGAAAGGAGCTCCCCAGCTATACATCTTTCTAAGAGCTTACGAAACACCGATGTCAAGCTAATAGGCCGATAGTTACTAGGGTCATCCTGCTCTCCTTTGTTTTTGTAAATAGGTACCACCTGTGCTGTTCTCCAGGCCACAGGCGTCCACGACCATCTCCAACACAATGTGAAGATCTGATGTAACAGAGGCACTAGCACTCGAACTAGGGGTTTGAGCATTTCTGCTCTAATATGATCAATGCCTGGTGCTTTTCGATTTGGCATCTTTCGAATAGCAGAGTGAATAAAGTCTACGTCCCATGGGACTGGATTGTCTTGGAGAGTAAACTCCTTACGCTCCTGTCTTTCCGTAGATCCGCCAAACACTCTCTCTAGGTGGTCAATCATGCAATTGGCAGCATGCCGAGGGCCCTCTGAAGATGACAGGGAAATTGGCAAACGTCTCCGCAGCCTCATTCCTTTCACAGCACTTGTCATCTCTGTTAAGCCCTTACGGACTTTATCACAAAATACATGCCAGGTTTGTTGTTGTGCTTGCCTTATAGCCTTTTTCAAAGCTAAACACGCTTCCTCATACAAGCAGTGGGCTTCAATGCATTCAATATCATTGCCTACCCATCGTCTAAAACAATAAAGTTCTTGACGACGGTCAGCTAACTGTTGTAGATCAGCATTCCAGTAGCTTTTCCAAGCTTTTGGATGGGATTGTGCGCGCCCTACGCTATCATCCAGGGCCTTGTAGATTGACTCATTGAGTCTCTCAGCAAAGTCCTCCATCTTAACAGAGCACAACGGGGTTTTGTCTTCCAATATTTTTTGGATCTCTCTTTGCAGTTCACCTGTGTTCTCTGCAAAACATCGCTTGTACTGGTCACAGACTGTTTGTTTGTTTAAACGTTGCAGTCTCCAGAGGCAACGGACAGCTGTTTCTGTCATGAGCGGTGGCATGAGCACCGGCTGAAAGGACAGCTCACACAAGTGGTGGTCTGAACCTAACGTCAGATCGTCCCTAATGTGCAAGCACACTTCGGAGAAGTTGTAGCTTCTTGACAGGAACAGGTCAATAATGCTAGCAAACCGACGACCATCTGCTAGAATTCGCTCATATGTAGGCAAGCCAAATGCCAACTCTGAGTTCCACAAGGTTAGATCCTGACGGCGGATCCAGTCTTCAAATCCCACATGTCTGTTGTTTATGCCATGATCTCCAGTCAGGCGGCCTAAACGTGTATTCAGGTCACCAAGGACGAGTGTGAAGTTGTCTATGGGTAGTGAATTCAACCTTTCCGCAGCCTCACTAGACGACAGCCTCGGAGGTAGGTACAGACCATGGAGTGTATATGGGCCAATCCTACAGGAGACCACAAAAGGATTAGTAATTGGTAAGGAATGTACATGGTAAGGAAAGTCAGGACGAATAAAGAACAAAACTCCATCAAAACCTCATCCAGCATCACCATGGGCTGTAGCATAGTTGTGTATTTGTATCCAGGGGCACCTCAACATTTGCATGTCTTTGGTCAGGAAAGTCTCTGTCACTAAAAGTATATCAATATCATTCTGCACACACACATTCAGAACGTTCACCAGTTTGGGCCTGATTCCACAAGCATTCAATAGACCAATCTTCAGTCTATTCATAATTCTTCTCGGTGGATGTTTTGGGCGTCTCCCTCATCTTCTTCCATAGCTGAGCCTGATCCAAATGCCTGGATGGCCTCTTCTTCAAGGGTGGCGGGGCGGCTGGCAACTGGGGTCTTGGCCTTGAGATCCGCCAAGAGCTTCTCAAAGGCAGTGGCAGAGAGGCAGGGAGTGACATTACCAGAGCCAAAGTGGCGAGCAATGCTGTACCCTAAGTGGGTGGGGGAACGAAGACAGGTGTTTGACACTCTCTGGTCAAAGAGTTCCTGGGCCTTTGCAGCCTTGGTACTGTTGGTTTCCCCTTGGAGCTTTGGGTCTGCAATGACTGCAGTGGACACAGGGTTGAAGTCCTTCACTGGACTGATCTTAAGCTTCTCAAGGTGCTCCTCGAGTTCCTTCTTGTAGCTGCTGTGGACCAGCAGCGCAACTGTTCCCCTTGCCGGGAAGTGGATGTCAATGATCCGTGACTGTTGGATCTTCAACAATCCCAACATCTTGCGGACCTGGCCATACTTAAGGTATCGGCGGCAAGGGACGTATACAAATTCGTACACTGAGGGTCCAGTGGCCTCCTGCAAGGCACGTACTGCTTGTGCCTTAAGCACTGCTTTGGCCTTTGTAGGCTTCTTGGCCTGGGGGTTCTTCTTTGCCATGCTGGCGTAGGTGGTGGGTGTGGGTGTGGGTGTGGAGGTTGGGGCATGCTTTGAAGCAGCAGTCGAGTTGTCCTGCTTGGCAGGGGTGGCAGGGGTGGCAGGGGTGGTGGTGTTGGTGGTGTTGGTGGTGCTGGTAGTGGCCTGAGCCTGGAGGGATGCAATCATTGCATCCTTGGCCTTCAATTGGGCCTCCAATTCCTGGATACAGAGTCCAAAGATCTCCATCTG